CAGATAAAAGGAACAGTCTGTCCAAAAAGCCTCCGGTAAGAAAAGGCATAGTTAGGCATTATACAAGTAGTTTAAAGTCTGAAGAAAGAGTTCAAGATAAGGACACACCCACACAAAATGTCCATGGACACATCTACATGAAATGCCCAGCACATAGATGATAATTCAGTAATTTTAAGATACAAGAGCATATTCAGATTATGAAAAATATGTCCAAGCTGTCTTAGGTGTCTGAAGAGCATTGTAGGTGAGAATTTAAATGAGAAGAACCTTACATGTTAGGAAGATTCTATAAACACATCACTTCTGCAGGGATACCTCTGCTTGAAATGGAAAACCAACCAACCTGAGTAACACTGTGTTAAACTGGAAACACAACACTTTCTCAAGAAGGCAGCCACTTACAACTCTAGTAATTTACTGTTGTGTGAAAATGGCAAGACTGTCTATAACTCAAGAACAAAATAGGAATTCAGCCTATGTGATACTTTTCATTTAGGATAGTGGCAACTAATTACATAAATTAAAAAACAAAACACCACAATGACAGCCAAACAAATGTGTCTGTGAATAGATTTCACCAAGGGCCACCCATGTGGCAGGTTAGAGAGGTCTGCCAACTTCTACAATGCACTTTCCACCACTTCAAAGGGTTCTCAAGTGTTATTTTTGAGCTCCTTGCTTTTAAACCAAATACCCCAAACTGGTAATGTCCTGTGAGGGCTTTTATACATATAAATCAACTCTTCTCTCTCATCTTGTCAAGATACCAAGCTTCAAGCATCTTGAGGCACACTTCTCCACTTCTACAAGCTAAGCAGTCAAGTGTGCAGGTAAACCAATGTAAAAAAAGACGGAGTGAGGCCTCATGGGATCATTAATGAACAAAGTATGCACGACAAGGTGGCCTCTTTGATTTCCATAGAAAAACACCACAGAGGTTTGTAAGCAGTGAGACACTTGAGGATAGAAACCAGTAACCTAAATATGAAAAATAAAAACAAAGTCTTCTGGCAATTTCCACCGTAAGATACCAACAGGGGAAGGGATGAACAGGGCAAAGGAGAAACTAAAAGTTGCTAGCCTTTGAGGACTATGAAACACCTTTCAAAACTCTCTGGTATAATAAAAGCCTCCACACAATGGTACAGTAAACACTCTCAATTCTCAATTGAAACAAAGCTGTATTTTAGCAAAGATAGCTTGAAAACTATTTGAGCAACAAGAAATTTAGATTAAAACTACTGAAAGAGTAAAGCAGTTTTTACAGGTAAGGCAAATGTGAGCAAAAACAATCCGGTTGTTTTAAAATCCACTCAACCACCTCTGTTTCAGATGTCTTACTACAGAATCTACTAAGTAACAATGTTGCTTTGGAAGCTTTTAAGATTTAGTCACTAGCAATCTAAAAAACAAAGGCTAAAAATTCGAAATGCCAAACCAAAGAACAGACTGTTTACAGTGTTGCTTTAGGAGCTTTTAAAATGTAGCAACATTTTCAAAAAAAATTTACTTTAACCTCTGGTAAAATCAAAGTAACACACAAAGACTAAAAATACAAAGCGCCAAACCAAACAAGGGTTCAAAGATTCTCAGACTCCCCAGAAGAACCCATCTGAACACAGTGGCATGTGCATCACCCCTGTAATGGGGCTGGGGGAGTGTCAAAAGGACCGGGAGTTAGTGACTGAAGGCGAGCAAAGCCAAGCAGGCCATGTTCTTGCTGGCAGGCTACCTCGCAATTACTTAGGCAAGCACTGTGGCCAGGGCCCTCCCCAGCCAGTAAGAGCGCACTGGACTCCCAAAACGGGAGGCTGACCGCAGCTCGCTAAGACCGAGACGGTAGGCAGTGGCCTTCTTTGACCTCCACGGTAAACCGAGGCTCCTCTAACCGTCGCCTCAGCGCTTGGATTATCGGGGCCAACCCTCCCCAACTGTGTGTGGCCTTCCCACGCACGCCGGGCGGGTGTCAACAGCTGGAGCAGCCGGGCGCGGGGAAGATCGCCGCCTGCACGGTCCTCCCGGGGACCCTGCCGA